GTTGTACTTAACACTTCTGTGCATAGTGCCATCGATATATATCTATCTAATTGTGTCAATGAATTCAAATCATTGATATATATCTATCTAGTTGTGTCAATGAATTTAAAAAATGTTTAAATGATTTTGCCCCTTGATAATCTAGAAATAGAGAAATATTTATGTGTTTACACAAGAATTTCCAATAAAATATATCAATTAGGTTTTTAATTTTGTTAGACTTGACTATATAGAAAAGCAATTAAAAAAATAAATTTCCTAGATACAATGTTAAACTACAAAAATATTAAGCAAAATATTTGTAATATTAATTTATAAATGCTAAATATTTTGTCATTTTCAGAATTTTTTAAACAAACAAAAATTTTTTTTACAAAGATTTGAAAAAACCATTTTAATTTAATATTTTTAATTGGCAATTTAATAAAAATCTCACTCAAAGCATATTCAGTCTAAAATGATTCTAATATCATAAACAGTAAAGTAATTTCAGAATTTTGAAGCTAGTGAAATAAAGCTTACACTTAATTTTCATAATAGTTAAATGTTTAAAAACATCAAACTTAAATACATATGCTTATACGACCAAAATTGCACTATGGTCCTAAAATTTATACGCAACATAAAAAGTAAAGGTAACTTGGAAAATTTACTCACCGTTAATAAAAATTACTTCTTATTAGTCATGAATAGTAAAATCCAATCATTGAAAAAATATTTTCTTTCCCAGTAAAAATATTTTCTTTCCCAAAAAATATTTTCTTTCCCAGTCAAAGAGCAAAATTTTTCTACCAAATTTCAAGCTTTTGTGTCAAAGAACAAAAAATCAATCAACATTAGTATTGATTTTTGATCTATTGACACAACACAATAAACCATTTTACAAACATCTGGAAAAAAAAGTGAATATAATTAAATAACTTATTATATAAAATCATATCATATATATATATTCTTAAAAATAATTTCATGAATATTTACAAATAGTAATTCGACTAATATACTACTAGCTATATATATATATATATATATATATATATATATATATATATATATATATATATATATATATATATATATATATATATATATATACATATATATACATAATATATATATATATATATATATATATATATATATATATATATATATATATATATATATATATATATATATATATATATATATATATATATATATGACTTTAATGCTTCCAGATTAATAGATTTGTGTATTATTAGAAGAACCATGAAATATATTCTTTCTCTAATTTTCAGCCAATGCAACTTGTTTATAAGTATAATATATATATATATATATATATATATATATATATATATATATATATATATATATATATATATATATATATATATATATATATATATATTATATATATATATATATATATATATATATATATATATATATATATATATATATATATATAATTATGTGCAATATGCAATTTACTTTGATATATATTATTACAATATATATCAAAGTATATTACATTTTGACAATTTTAAAATATATTTAACAAAATAGAGTGCTTAATGTTCTTAAAAGAACAGAGCAAGTATAAAAATCTACTATGCAAAACTAAAGTAGTTGTGAATATGTTAATATATATACATATATATATATATATATATATATATATATATATATATATATATATATATATATATATATATATATATATATATATATATGTATATATACATATATATATATATATATATATATATATATATATATATATATATATATATATATATATATATATATATATATATATATATAAATATATATATATATATATATATATCTTATTTATTACTTTTTTAGCTATGTAAAATAGATTTTTAAAACTAAATAATCTTTTCTTAACAGATTAGAAAAATAATTAATACAAAAAATTTTTAAAAACTATATAAATTAAATCTTAAAACCAGTCTTCAGTTCAAACTCTTAAAGAGATATAGTTTTGTTTATCTTTCTGTGCACCTTCAGCGGGTCGTTGATACGAGTTTCAACATAAAACGGCAAAACAATGGAAACGGCCTTTATTTCCAGACTATTTATTCTTATGACTATGGTATAGAGAATTCAAGGGGAATTGAAAATTTGTCCGACTTAGTAAAAGTCCGACTTATCCATGGTCCTAGTTAACGGGATTCTACTGTAATTTGAAATACGTTCATAGTTTAAACGTGTTAGTTGTATGTATTTTTGTAAACCTTTTAATATTTTTTTGTTATGAGTAAGTTTTTGTTGTTATAAACTGGAAATATATTCAAGTTAAATGTTTACGTTTTTTTTTTTCTTTTCCGTTTACTTTATTTACCTTTTACTTAATTCACCTTTTGTTTATTTGTAATTTTAAATTTTTACATTTATTTGAAAAACGTTCATAAGTTTAAAACTTGAATAAATTTTTGTTTCTAAACGTTTTACTTTAAATTAGTTTTTTGTTTTAGATGTAAACTTGCCTATTTAAAATAATTTTTTTTCTCATTTCAATTATTTCAATTTGATTTTTATAGAAGGGAAAGGGAGGGGGGGGGGTAATCAAATGTTGACGTAATTTTATAGGGAGGAGGGGAAAGAGGGTGCTCAATGCAACTAAGGCATAGAAAAAACACAGAACTCGTAAAAAAAAAAAAAAAAAAAAAATATGCCGATGATTTAAAACCGAAAAGCTTTTTATTTATTGGAATTTAGTTTATGCAAACAAAGAATTCGTTAATAATGGCAAAATATTATAAACAACCGAAGCGTCTGTTATAATAGTTTAGCCGGAAGTATATGAACCTAATTACATTTTGAAAAAGTATGCTATTTTTAAAAGCAGTTGGAAGAAATATGTAATATATATTTCATTTTGCGCTGTGCTAACAACAAAAAGTATTTATCCTTAATACATAACTGAAGTCATAATAATAAGCCATAATAGCTATATGTATCGACTTAGTGTTCTATTAAACAACATGACATCATTATTAAAAATAAATTTAAAGGTAGGGTATAAAAGTGTAGTGGTTAATTAATTTAAAAAAACTCACTTATATTTAAAATACCTATTATTTTATTAAATATTTTATTAAATAAAATAAAATTTATCAACAAAAATACTCAAATTTTTAACATATTTTAACTTAAAAGTTTAAAATTTTCTCTTTTTTATTTAAAAAGATTAAAAACAGCGCAAAAATAATTAATTAGCAAAAAACAAATAAAATTTAAAAAAATTTTGAGTTCAACCTTTCCCTCTGCCTATTTTTATAACAATAAGTAACTTATGTTACTTATAAAAATAAATTGTTATAAAAATAAAAGAAACCAAATTTCAGTTAAAGTTTACTTCTGATAAAAAAACGAAACGAGTTTGAAAATGAAAGTAATTTGTTTATAAAGTTTACCGCCTCTGTTTTTCAATTGTTTACTCATTCTGAATGGAATAATTTATTATTTCAAGATGGCCGAATAAGTCCCGAGTATTTCCAAAAATGATACAGACCTTCCAACTCTTCAGGTTTTACCGTGAGGCTCACGGTGTGATAACGAATCTCACGGTTACACGGTTAATCACGGTAAATTTTAAAAATTGTCAAAAAAAAAATTTTCATATTTACTTTTGCTCAAAACTATATAAATCCCAAGAAAGGTTGTTACTGCATCAACAACTAATAAAATTAAGTACTCAAGATGGGTCATAAAACCGGCACTCACATATAGCTTTAAACATGGGTTTGTTTATATTATAAATCAAATCCAAATTTTTAAAAGTAAGAGTAATTTTAGCTTACCTGGGCATTTGGTCCTAAAAAAACGTCTTTTGAACGTTCAAAAGACTTCTTTTAGGACCAAATGTCGGCTTGGTAACATGGTGCGCAGATTTTTCGGTTAGGGTAATGATTTTGATGATAATGCTTTTGAAGAGGTTATCTGATGAGATTTTTGATAAAGTTTTTATTGAATAATAAATTTACTAATTATTACTGAATAATAAGGACAATTTCAGCTAATTTTGGTATCAATTTTAAACGTATATCATAATATTTTAATTTTTCTAGTTTGGAAAAAAGTAATTTTTAATTTTTTTTTTACGAGTATCCTGTTTTTTTGTGTAAATTTCAAGGTTTTTTCTTATAAATCTCAAGTTAAAAAAAAAAAAGGTTGGAAGGTCTGTGATACAAAATACCGAAAACAGTTTTTAAATGGGGCTAAAAATTATTATTATTTATACAAAAACGACTTTTGTAGAAAAATTAACGCTACCATGGGTTATCTGAATCTAACGTGATATTATTGTTAAACACACTCATTTAGGTGTGGTATTGAAAATAATAACTTCAATTTTCATAAAAAAATGGTTTTTCATAGGTAATTTCTAATGAGACATTATTTCCCAAATATTGTCTGATTAGAAATGTCAAGTTACATTCATTGAAACAAACACCAATACGTGCTTTTGAGAAAAAATCAAATCCATTGAAGAAAAATCAAATCCAACCAAGCCCCAAGATACTTTATGTTGAAAATTGCATCTTTTCTAAATATAACTACGCTTGACGATTTGTTATAGTCGCATTACAAACTATAGTTAAATTTAATAAATGTTTGCCATAAAATCTTTATCAAATATCAACTTGAATTTTATACGCAGTATTAAGATATTTACTCCGCGTTACAAATTTATTTAGCAAGGATAATTAAATAAGCTAAAACATAGCTAAAAAAAAATTGAATAAGCTAAAACAAGATTAACACCTCGATTTAACTTTTATTCAAAAATTATAAAAAAAAACAAGAAAAAGAAACAAATTTCACAGTGCAAACAATATGTTATTTTCAAATAGTCCTTACCAATGTTTTAAATTGTCGCACTATTTTTTTTACAAATTGGATTAACTGCCTTCTTCACCGTTTTAATTATTTCAATAGCCGTCATGGTGATTATTTAACGGTTGTTGTCTGTTATATTTTACACGACGTTTTTGAAAACATTTATTATGCCAAAATGAGCAACCAACAACCAAATTAGCAACAAACTCTTCAGTTTACAAAATGAATCAGTTTGTAATTATTAATAAGCTGAATTAATTGGCTGAAAACAACGCAACAGTCAGTTGAAAACTTTGAAGTAGCACAGCTCAAAATGCTGAAACATACGATTTACTGATCGAATAAAGAGCCATTCGCATAAATTATATTTACCAGAAAATATCTTTTACTTGATGAGCTTTTACCAAGATGAACGTGGCAGCAATTGCCATATACGTTTAAAAAGTTTTAAAAACTAGTAACAATATAAGAATTATAAGAATAGGTTAAGCTAAGCAATCTGTATTGGTAATAAAAATATAAAGCTGAATCTAAATGCAAACTCGGTTAGTATTTTTTTTTGTTGACAAATAATTGTATATAATTACATTTTACAAAAACGTATAACCTATCAAATTTTTATTTTACCATTAAGTATATGACATTACCATTTTTTTAATAATTAATTAAATAACATGTTATTTTACTTATTACTTAAAAAGTGTTTAAAGTATTTTAAAGATAAAAGTTTATCCAAATAAACACTTTAAATAAATGTATTAATAAATTTTAAAAAACAAAATCCTATAACAAGAGTTTTTAAAAAGTATGACTAAAATTGTGTTGTTACGAAACTTATAATAAAATATCATTTTTTTTTGATTAAGCAATAATTCAATATTGCCTAATAAATATAAACTCTCTATACTTTTCACAATAAACTCTTGTAAATTTTTTTTCTGTGTGTTTGCTACATTTTTATATATTTCAAGCCTTGTATTTCATTGCTAACAACTTGAATCCATTCTAAAATGTTATCTTCCAGAAGTGCAAGTCTATTACTTAAATTGCTTTGATCCAATATAAAAATTTATTGATAAAACAAATAAGAATAAAAATAAAGTTATGTATAAGTTATAATTTATTTTTCTAGTTCAAGATATGCATCCTTTGCATCTTTTGAATTCAGAAAAAACCCAGATGCGATTATTGGTAAATGACTTTGTCTATGATATTTTTTGTAAAAATATATTGATTGGTTGTGATGTTTAATATAAGGTTTATAGATGTTTTCTTTAATTTTAAGATGTTTAAAAATCTTTTCGCTAATCTTTTCTCTACTTGATGGCAAAATTAATTGCAAAATATAAGTTTTCAAAACTATAAATCAGTGAATGTACAAACTACACTTAAATATTTAATATTCAACATAGCTTCATAGTTTAAAGTTCACTTGTAATGTGTAGCTTTAAAAAAATGTAGAAGAATAAGTTAATATAAATAATTAAATTAGAAACATCATTAACAACATAGTAGGTAGTTTTGATTAAAAGATGTTTGTTTATTAAGTAATGAAGTTTAGGCAAATAGCTTGTTATTTTATATTTATTTTTTATTTAATGTAGTTTTAGTAATTGATAACTCAATAAATCTTCCTCAATTCATTAGGAAGACTTTTCTAATCCTTTCACATAAGATTGCTTTGGCAGATATCTTGTGCCATGATGCTGAATATTTTATAAATTTTTTATTTGTTCTTTATATATAAAATCACACGGACCACAAATTCAAATAATGGTGATTCTTCTTAGATCATTTAAGATTTCTTCTTAGATCATTTTAGCTTGAAAATATAATTAAACATTTTTTGGAAATAAGTTTTGATATCCTTTTATTAGACCAGTTGACAAATTTCTGTTGGTAATTTTGCTAAAGTTTAATATATGTAACAAAATCTACTCTTGACGACACAGGAGATAATAACCTGCTTGAAAAGCAATCCTGGTATTATTTATAGAAGAGAGAAAGAAAAGCAACTTTACATTGATGGGAAAAAGACTTAAGCTTGGTTGTTAGAGCAGGTCTAACTTCAATTACAGCTTATAGTAGGTCTAACTACATTTTTAGGCATTTTCTAAAAAGAAAAGAACAATATTAGCAGAACCAGGCTAAATATGATCATAGTGTTTCAACAAAGTTAGATAATAGATTTATAGAGGTAGAAAATAAAATCTGACAACTGGAATCATGAAAAAATGGTCCAAACTGCACAAGTCTAAAACAATAGATTTTTTTTACTGTTATCTAAAACAATAGATTTTTTTACTGTTATCTAAAACAATAGATTTTTTTACTGTTATTTAAAAGTTGTTGTCTTTTTTAATTTGATCCCATTATAATACTTATCTTAATATTGAATTTCAGGAAATTGTTTGAAGTTAAATTTTTTTATTTATTTTTAAGATTCTTTTGCTAAAAGCTTGCAGGTTTTAAAGCTTTCTCCTTGTTATTTTTATGTATTACTTATGTGTTGCAAAAGATATCTTGCTTAAACTTCATTAGATAACCAGATTTTAATATTTGTATAGCTAATTTGTAGTTAATACACTCACTTATTATCTGAAATATCTTTTTAATTCAAAAGGTATTATATACAAATAAATATGTCAGAAGTTTCAGTTAGCTATGTCAGAAGTTTCAGTTAGCTATGTCAGAAGTTTCAGTTAGCTATGTCAGAAGTTTCAGTTAGCTATGTCAGAAGTTTCAGTTAGCTATGTCAGAAGTTTCAGTTAGCTATGTCAGAAGTTTCAGTTAGCTATGTCAGAAGTTTCAGTTAGCTATGTCAGAAGTTTCAGTTAGCTATGTCAGAAGTTTCAGTTAGCTATGTCAGAAGTTTCAGTTAGCTATGGTAAACTGAGAGAACAATAATCTTTTCTCTATCTCTATGGTTTGTTATAAAAAAATTATAAAATTGAAAAAAATATGATACAAAAATAATTTCAATTTTAAATTTAATAAGTTTTTTTATGTTAATAAAATTTAAAGAAATATTAAAAATAAAAATAAAAAAGTAATCAAAAACATGAATTAATCAAAAAACAAACCATTAAAATACTGTTTTACCTAATATATTTTAAATTAAATTATTTTACTCAATTTTTTTTTAAATAAATTTACTACATTTAATATACTATACATTTTAAATTTATTAAAAATTATTTATTTAAATATAATACATTGACTTATTTAATATGTATTTAGTTTCTTTGTTATGACATTAAACTGATCCTATATTTGGGTAGATGAAGTTTCTCATCTGTAAAAGCAACAAAACTAGGAGAGGGAAAACCCTGACAAAAAACCCTTCAATTTAATTGTGGATAAAATTAATTTTTAAGCTATATATATATATATAATATATATATATATATATATATATATATATATATATATATATATATATATATATATATATATATATATATATATATATTCCATTTGCTCTCATGCTTCAGATTTGTAATCAATTAGAAAATGAATTATAAACTGACCCATGATTGGTTGATGTGCAGAATTATATTTTGTTGATTAGTTTGATCAATGAATTTAGTTTACTAAAGAAAAAACCTAAAGAATGATTTTCTGAAACCAGACAATGATTAAAATAAGATATAGTTGCAATCTATCAATCACGTATTTTGTATTTCAGTCAGATTAGGTCACAGATTAATCACTTTGTCTTGGTTAAATAACATTCTTGATAAACTATATTTTCGTCATATAGTTAGTCACAAGATAGTTGTAAATCTAATACTTTGCAAATTTTTAAAGCATCATAATTTTTAGAGATGTTAAATATTTGAACAGATTTTTTATAAACATTAAACTTAAAAATCTATTTGATAGTTCTTGAATATGTATTGGAAGTATTTTTAATATATTTCTTTTGTTTTTAAGATGTTTGAACTTTTATATGCAATATAATATAATATAAGATAAAAAATAGTACTTTTTTATTTGAGTTAAAAGTTAAATATTTAAATTATTTTTTAAATTATGAAATTATGTTATAGCCAATGTTTTAAGTATTAACAAATACTTAGCTATTCCACTTGAAAAATTTGAAACCAATGTAAATACAAAACTTTAAAATACTTGAATATATTATAACTTTTGATATTTGTTTTCTTATTTTTTTTAAATAATTTTTTATGGGGTCTGTTTTAAATTCATTCTTTTATAAGAAAAAAACATACCAACATTCAAGCAATCGTCTTGTAGAAGCAATTTTGATTATTTATAAATATTCCAGATTAAAATTATCATCACCTATTGTTAATTTTTATGTACTATTCAAGTATGTACTATTGTAAATTAAATTGACTATAAAATTGATTGAAATATTTTAAAGTCATTAAGTTTTTTATATGAAGATTTTATACTGTTTATTATGTTTTATAATATTCTATTTTTCTACTAGCAACTTCCGTTAGGATGTTTTATAACTATTTATAATATATCCTAACAACAATCTGTTTATTAACAATAATGTTTTATAAGCATGATTAAGCATGAAAAAGAGCATCAACAGCTGAAAATGTTATATATAAATAGCTGAATATATATATATATATATATATATATATATATATATATATATATATATATATATATATATATATATATATATATAGCTGAATATATATATATATATATAGCTGAATATATATATATATATATATACATATATATATATATATATATATATATATATATATATATATATATATATATATATATATATATATATATATATATATATATATATATATATATATATACATACACACATATTGATTCTTACATTACTCATTCATCATTACTTTACATTTTTTAAATAGTTATCTAATAATATTTGCAAATTAACCAAAATTGTTTCACTTTTTATAATAATATCTAATAGCCAAAATAATTATGTTTAAAGTTGCAAATTAAAAAATATCTTTAACTTATTTACTTTTAATTTTGTTAAAATATAGAAAAATTATTTCACCTAAAATAGCCAATATCACTGTAATTAAAGCTTACATAATAATTTTACGCAATACTTATTTCTGTTGCTTACATAATATCTTTAGAGATTCAATAAATATTTTTGTTATAGAAA